GTGCCTGCACCCCAGGGTGCCCCTGCCCCTGGCCCATCTGGTAAGAACCCCTCTAGGTCACCACGGGCTGTGTCTTCCAGGCTATTTGTCTCTGAGTGGCCCCGGGCACGTGACGGGCACCGTGGGGGGATCGCTGAGCGTGCAGTGTCGGTACGAGAAGGAGTTCAAGGAAAATAACAAATACTGGTGCCAAAGCCCATGTTTGGCATCGCTGAGGACGAAGATTGTGGAGACCACAGAGTCAGAGAGAGAAGTGAGCAGTGGCCGTGTGTCCATCAGGGACCATCCAGCAACCCTCACCTTCACCGTGACCTTGGAGAGCCTCACAGAGGACGATGGAGGCACATACAGGTGTGGGATCCATAGACCATGGACGGAAGGACTGATAGACCTCACCTTCCCGGTTGAGGTGTCTGTGTCCCCAGGTGAGTCACACACACCCTCCCCTCACCCGCGCTCCAGGCTGCCTGGTCTACCTGGTCACCCGCAGGTCAGGACAGACATGGAATTGAAGAGCTGGGTGAAGTGGGGGTCAGTGATCAGTACACAGTGTGTGTGGGTGTTATCTGGGCACAGGTGTGTCGTACACACACACACACACACAGTCTGTTCCAGACCCCTTCGGAGCCCAGGCCCTAACGGAGTCTCAGGTCTGGATGGCTCCTGAGGCATCACCCTCACACACATGGTCCTGGGGGTCTGCAGCTGCCATGAGACAGACTCAGAGGAGACCCAGGTCCCTGTGTGGGGCCCCTGTGATGTTTGGGGGCCTCCCTTCCCTCCAGGCTGACCTGTCCCTCCCCGTTTTTCTCTGATGCCTTGTAGCCACAGGGGGGAACCCAGAGGAGCCCCTGAAAATACCTCCCTCAGGAAGGAGGGGAAAGGTGATCACGTGGCGCTCAGGTGCTGTGGCCCCAGCTCCCTGCCCGCTCTCCCCACAATTCTCTCCACAGGGCGCAGGGCTTGTTGCCTGAGAGGCCAGTGAACACCATCGTCCTGCTGACGGTGGCTCTGGCTGCTTTCTTCCTCCTTGCAGCTCTCGGTTTCTCCCTCTCCCATGGGAGGTTCCCTCCTGGCCTTTGTGTCTTGCTATTTAAGAGGGAGAAACTGGAAACCCCAGAACCTCTGGCTGCGGGGAGGGGGAGGGGCTTGTCCCAGGGCCTTTGGGTCCGGCCATGTACTATGCCAGCGGTTCTCAACCTGTGGGTCGCGACCCCTTTGGGGTCGAATGACCCTTTCACAGGGGTCGCCTAAGATGATTGGAAAACACATATATAATTACATATTGTTTTTGTGATTAATCACTATGCTTTAATTATGTTCAATTTGTAACAATGAAATTGGGGGTCACCACACAGGAGGAGCCGTATTAAAGGGTTGCGGCATTAGGAAGGTGAGAACCACTGTTCTATGGGGTCCACCTGGTGTGTGTCTCTCTAGATCAGGGGTGGGGAACATCTGACCGGAGGGCCATATAAGGCCCAGGAAATCTTTGGGTCTGGCCCTGCCAAGGCATTAGGGGTGAGTGGATGAAACACTGGCCAAACAGAACAAGCTAATGTTTAAGTTGATGATTTTGTGGGCGTGAGAATGATGTTATAAATCTCCAATGGCCCTTGGCAGGAAAAGGTCCCCCACCCCTGCCCTAGGTCTTTCTTTCTGCTCATTTCTTCCCCAGAGAGGACTGCCCCGTGGGCCAAGGCCTGGCTGACAGTGTGGGGGCTGGTAGCTCAGACACAGCTGGAAGCCCGAGATCAGGAGGCCAGCATGCGGGTGAGGCCCTCCTCTGGGTGCAGACTTTTATTTTATCCTTGGGGGTGAGGGGCCTCGCTCATCTGGGCACTAATCCCATGGATGAGGGCTCCACCCTCATGCCCTGACCACCTCCAAATGCCTGGCCTCCTAACACCACCCACTGGGCCTGAGGCTTTCAACAAAGGAATTTTGGAGACACGACCGTTCAGACCACGGCGTGTCTAAGGGACTGCGGGTCCCACCATCCAGTGCAGACCCTGAGGCAGGTCTGTTTCCTGGGTCTCACACCAAGCACTCCACGCCTGAGGGCCCAGCCACCCATCACTCTAGTCAAGGCTACAGAATAAGTGTCACCCCGCCCCCTGCTGGCGGGACAAGGGGGAGAAGGGGTGGCTGTGGTGGGGGTGTGGCCGGAGCAGGTGCTCTTCCCACACACTCAGATCCTCTGCTGAGCAGGACGACTCTGCTTCCGAAGGTGCTCACGTGGCCACAGAGTTCCTGGAGAGGGACCCGGGGAGGGGGCCCGGTCTGGCCTGCCTGTGGCCATGGAGGGGATGGCCTGAGTGACCTTGACCTTGTGTCAGAGCGACACAGCTGACAGAGTGGAAGACCCAGGGCCTGACATGCGCTTCTCCCTCAGCCCCCACCCTGAAGATCGTCACAAGCACCCTGGGTCCTCCGAGCACCCTGGGTCCTCCAAGCACCCTGGGTCCTCCAAGCACCCTGGGTCCTCCAAGCACCTTGGGATCTACAAGCACCCTGGGACCTCTGAGCACCCTGGGACCTCCGAGCACCCTGGGTCCTCCAAGCACCCTGGGACCTCCGAGCACCCTGGGACTTCCGAGCACCCTGGGACCTCCGTTTTAGCACCCTGGGACCTCCAAGCACCCTGGGTCCTCCAAGCACCCTGGACCCTCCCTCCTTCCGGCCAGCGACCACCGGGCCCAGTGTGACCAGCCAGGAGACGCCTGATGCCAGCCAACACCCTCGGTAAGGGGCCCGCATCCCAGGACTTTGACACCTGGTGGATTCTCCTCTGGGGGGATGGCAGGGGTGGTGACGATGTGGCCTAGTGTGCATCCCCATCACCGTGTCCCCCACAGGTCCCTGTTCAGCAGTGTCCACTTCCTGCTCCTGGTCTTCCTGAAGGTGCCCCTGCTCCTGAGCATGCTCGGTGCCGTCCTGTGGGTGAACTGGCCTCAGCGGAGCTCTGGCAGGAGGCAGAGTCAGATCTGCTCTGAGAACCAGTGACACCTGCTCTGTCGATGCCCCGCCCAAGAGCACAGCCCCACTGTGGGAGGAAGGACCTTCTGACCAATCAATCCAGTGTCATTGTCCATGATTCTGTCGGAATAGTCTGTGAACCTATTAGAGAGTTTTTTCTTTCAATGTATCAGATACACACAAAAGATACCTAATAAATGCATACTCATTAAATGCTCGGTGCCGTCCTGTGGGTGAACTGGCCTCAGCGGAGCTCTGGCAGGAGGCAGAGTCAGATCTGCTCTGAGAACCAGTGACACCTGCTCTGTCGATGCCCCGCCCAAGAGCACAGCCCCACTGTGGGAGGAAGGACCTTCTGACCAATCAATCCAGTGTCATTGTCCATGATTCTGTCGGAATAGTCTGTGAACCTATTAGAGAGTTTTTTCTTTCAATGTATCAGATACACACAAAAGATACCTAATAAATGCATACTCATTAATAAATGCCACTCATGTGCCCACCTTGTAGCTTATGTAACAAACACCATGAATACTTCTGTAGCCCTAAGCATCTCACCGAGGGAACCAACTCTGAGTTTACATTCATCATCTC